GGGTACGTATAATTTGTACATGTTTATTCTTGATGACCAACTTATGAATTCAGATTATTGTTAGTACTTGATTGCAGGTTGTACAAGAGTTGGGAGCACTGGACTCATTGGTCATTGTGCCTCCGGACAATAACGTGCGTGGTGACATTATCGACACTAATATAAAGGATTTTGATAAGGTTTGTAGAGGAGTCGCAATTTATTTTCACTGTGTTGGGCGACGCAACCATCTAGTTGGACACCTATGAGTTGAATCGCTCAACCGCACGTACTACTGGAAGTACTACTGGAAGATTGGCCCTTCAGTCGGGTCGTGGGAGCTATAAACAAGCTCAAATGCCTCTCGAGGCCGGTCGTACCGTGGGGACTCCTAGGCGAGGGTCGTATTTTGTCGGTAAAAGGAGGGGGTCGCATTTTACCTGAGAAGGTTTTTTTATCATTGATTTTTCCTGTTTCAGCGCGTTGTTCACAACGTTAGGAGCCTCCCATTGGAACGGGTCGCATTTGCTCGTCGCTTTGAGCGAGAGCGACGAGCAAATACGACGCCTTCATCAAAATACCTTGCTTCCCAATATTTCCTTTGGCGCGAGACAACTTTTTATGGCTGATGACTTTTCATGCTCTTCACATGCGCTAACCCCCTCCCGCCCCTCCTCCCAGCCTACTCGACGGCAGTATTTTTTTGGAGAAAAGTAGGGAAAAGCCAGTAGGGTCAGTGACAGATAGTCCGAGAGGGGGGGGGGTGGTCGTACCAGAAAAGGAAACTTGGAGAGGTCGTATTTTTCCAAGACTTTCGCACCACAGCAAGAACTGCCTAATGCCTCTGAGAATGGGAACGGTCAGGTGATTGGAGCGATCCAAGCGGATGGCTCTGACCCCTTTTTTGTGTGCTTCTTTATCTATGAAGTGCTCATCCTTCAGCGCTTCATAATCCATTGCTGAGATAATTTGGGACGCAATATTCGTGGGTTAAGGGAAAAGTTCCCACTCTTGTCTAATCGCTCCGACTTAAGGAAAACAAAATAATAGTAGAGTTATGAAAGTTTGGCCTTTCTAGTTTAGATGTCGGCTGTTTCTCACAGTGACTTTCATTTCTCCCCATAGCAGCTCTTTATGTGCTCCTGGATTTCGTCTGGATCATGTGGCAACAATGCTCACATAAATGTTAAAAGTTCTATAGTTCTTCTTCATTTTTAGTTATTCAACGACCGATTGACAATTCCATTTCGACTAACTCAAGCTGCCCTTCCATTTTTAGAAAAGTCAAAAGTAAGTTGCTTTTTCGTTTAAAAACTCCCATTGTCCGTTCCACCACTTTTCATCACCAAGTTTCTCTTATGCGGTATGTGTTTCATTACTCAAATTCCTCTCGTTTGGAACGGTGGCCGTAGTGTATCTGACGTCGTGCGCTGGATATACTCCAGGACTAGACATTGGATTGTTATCGGTGGCATCAACGGCTGTTCTTGGTCTCACTAGGAATGTGGCTCTCAGTGCTGCTCGTCGTGGTGTACGTGTGAATGCTGTCTGTTTTGGAATGGTTCGTTACCTCCTTGTTCATAAAATCGGTTATAGCTGTCCTTCACATATCTTAAACCTGAAGCGGAAGTGACGCCCCGAGCTTAAGGAAAAGGAGAAGATCCAAAAAAAACCCCCCCCCTGCGCTCTCTAATCAACTGCCATCGTCTCTTTGCCTTTCTGTCTTCGCATCTATGTCCTTCCCTACCTGTCCTGGAAGTTTCCCCCCATGCAACATGTGGGTCGGAGCGCGGGGAGAGGGTGAAAGAATTCCATCTAACTCTGCGCCTGCCACGATATCTCGCTTGAAGCTGCGCGGGAAGAGTGTGGATGCGAGAGTCAGGGAGACGAGAGGCGTTGATGGAGATAACGCGGAGAGTGGAGGTTTACTGGGGGATATCTCCCCTCGATCGGAAATATAGGATACCAGCTTGCCCGCATTGGACGATGCAATGACGAACAATAGCGTAGTCGACCCGCTCCCATGCTTTTGAGCTCTCTCTTCTCTCTCTCGCTCTCCTCTCTCTCTCTTCTCTCTCTCTCTCTCTCTCTCTCTCTCTCTCTTCTCACTCACCCGCTCACTTACACGATTCGAAATGAAGAGGGCTCGTAGCGAAACAACCGCCCCATCAGACCGCATTCACACTTGCAGATTCCACTGAACCGCGGATCGCCCAGAAAGGACAACTGTTATGCGGTATCCGATCGGATATTCCGCGCAGTTTTTCGCCGGTCATGCAACGCGTTGGCCGTCACGTGGCCGCCAAGCGCAACAAATAAAAGTTATGCGGTCGCCGTGCGTAGTGGGCTGGGAACAATGGGCCTCGCCGCGAGCGCGTCTGGCTATCTTCCCGCGCTTTTGTCATAGGACATCCTCTATGCTTGCCGACAGGACTACCATGTCAAAGAAAGGCTTCTGAATAGCAAATGAACGCAGAGGGTGCATTAAAAGCTCGTTTCATAGAGAGAAATTTACCATGGGTTATTTACTGTTTTACAACCAATGCCGGAATTCAGCGTAGAAAATGACTGGATCGGGGCTTTTTGGCGACACGCCGACAAATTCAGATGAAGCTTTACAAAGGAGTGGTGTCTAGTCCATGCATACCGCTTGGACGGTTAGGAAGGCCATCTGATGCAGCATCTCTTGTCCAGTTTCTTATATCTCCCCGGGCGAGGTAGGTGATTTCAGATAATTCTGGTTTCCCTGTCGCAGAAGTTGCCACGTTTCGATTTGTTGGCAATGATTCGTATTCCAGTATATAACCGAGCGAGAACCTGTTTATTAACTGCTGGAGTAATCTTTCAGGCTTGTAGGCAAGCTTGCTAGCAGAGTTCGTTGTTCATGTTGATTATAAATTATAATATATTTGGTTATGTTGTGAAAACGAATGTAGATAACAATTCTTAACTGCTCTGGTCACATTTCTTCACATTTTTGAATCTCGTTGTAGTTGTAGGTTTATTTCAACGTTGTTCATTTTCCAGTGCCACGATGGAAATGTCCTCTAGTGTTCTTATTCCTGTTATGCCTAGGAGAGCTTCAGTATGTGCTCATATGCGTAATGAAGGTTGATAAGATCCACGGCGTATGTGAGCTGAATCATGCTATTCTGTACCAGGATCCTTTACTTTTTGGCGTTTTTTCTGCTTAAAATATCTTTAGGAATCGCAGCCGTTGGTCCTTCAACCAAAAGAGCGTCCATACTGCCCCTGCTAAGCTCTCATAGTCCACCGCCTCCATGTACCTGTCGCTGCATGCTCTGCTGGCAACGCTGGATTGCGAAAAACAAACCAAGGGGATGGGGTGGGTGGGTGGGAGGTAGGTTCTTGCCTCTGTAGGCGAACAACTTCTCTGACTAAGTGTACTCCATGGCGCAGCGGCTCCCGTTCACAAAAGGATAAGAAGGGGTAACATTTGCACTTCCTTTCCGGGGTGATACTTACGGTTACTGGGGTAATGCGGCGGTCTTTCAGTACTAGTCTGCATGAGTGTCACTGTGCTCAGAAGGGGATCCTGGTGAGAGAGAAGGTTAGTGTTGGCGGTCTGGGCACATCATCGGGATGTGCAAAATGGCAATATCATTACGACCCACCCCCGTCCCCCCATGAGGAGGGTTTGGTGTGGTAGCCTTCCAAAATCACCACTCCCGCCATTACGAGCCCGACTTGATTCCCTTCCCAAAATTTTGCTTTCCAACGGAAAAGGGAGATATAACACGCGTAGAACGGTAAACTCAGCAATCAAAAAATGTCTCGCAAGCCATATAAAACCTCCAGTCCCCAGTGACCGAATATGACCCTCACCTCTTATGATACGTCCACATTGGGATTCTCCCAACGATGGTGTACCCTTGGGTAGGCTGAAAGTGCTCGCTCACAGGTCTTAATCGCGGCGGAGGAAGGGGCGAGTCCGCCGTGAAGAGTTGACGCTGCCCCAAACTCGTTATCTTTCATTTGAGGTGGGTAAGGGACATCAATTGCTGGAAAACGACTGATACGAATGATATGATACAGTTTGTCGCTTGCTCGCTTCAGCAACTGGTGGAAAATGGTTTGACGCCGCGCCGAATCAACCCGCCTGATACGCCCCTTCATCCGCAGTGAACAAGGCTATGTTGATCTTAGGTGTTGTGCAGGCTATGTTGATCTTGGGTGTTGTGCAGGGAAACAGCCACATGTGACATTAGTGGCCCTACCTTCTCGATCTTTATAGTTCTATGGGATGCTCCAGTAACCTTATCAACACTGAATCTGCTCATGGTTCAAGTGTTAAGGAAAGCTGTATGCTGCAATAGTTCTTCTGTCCGTGACTTGCTTAGATGACTCTCGCTCCGATTACGATAAAACCTCAATTTCCGACAAAATTCGGAACTTGAGGTGATCTTTCATGCGGTAGCAGCCTGAACTGCTTGTCGGACAAGAGTCAAGGTTTACTTAAGAATATGATTACACGACATCTTCCATTGGCACAATCTAGCTGTAGAATCGGAAGTCGCATAACGGCGGAGGAGTATGCTGGACGCCGTGCACGACTCGTCCAGAGCGTGAGAAAAGTAGCTGGTCAAACAGGTATTTTAGAGCTATATGTGTAATACTCAAACAATTATTATTGTGAATATTTCAATTACTGGATGGGTCAACTTGTTTCAGACCGCGATCTAGTCATTTTACTAAAGGGATCAAGACGGTATTATATTGCTCCAGATGTTCCGGGTTCATATCGGCAATGTAGTCATTTCAGGTTGGTAACGAGTTTTCAATATTACATGCATTATTCTTTTTACATAACTACATTACATAGTCTAGTTCGCTGCGGGTGGAGGGGCGTGTCAGGCGGGGTGAATTTGGCGCGGTACCAGACCCGTTCGCCACCGTCGTTGAAGCGGGCAAGTGACAAGACTGCATCGCATGGTTCGTAACACCCGTTTTTACCAATTGTTGCCTCATACCCGAATAGCTGGTAACGAACGCGTTCAGCGCCGTGGCACGTTCGTACTGCCTGACACGCCCATTCATCGGCAGCGAACCAGGATATTGGCAGTGAATCCAATCTTTTTTTCTAGATATCTAAGTGGAGTCACGGTGCCTAATTGCTACTATCTCATCCATGCACCAAAACGAGGAGGTCGGCTACGACCGATTCTGTTTATGAACAAAAGAAGTGACTATGAGGAGTTGTGGGAAGGTGCTCTTCCTGGTGAATCATCCCTAGAGATCACCGCCGGGTTTGAGGAGCTGCTACCTATTCGAAAAATAAATGAAGTGAGCTGTCACCTCCAGGTTGTTTTCCCTTCTTTTTCCAAAAAACAGTCCACAGTTTCCTGTTTTAGGTGATAACGAAGATGGCGTCATCAGAAGCGTCCTTATTTTTCGAATCAGATGATTGGGCAGGGACTGAGGTTGCTGCAGCTCGTACAAAGTACGGTGCCTATCACTGCCTCAAAAATCATGTATGTTAAAAATTATGTGCTTTTGCTCGAGAGTTAACGTTCTTACAAGGCTGTGGCCATGCTCGACGATGCGTAGCCAGCACAAAGTTGTGGAACAGGACACACTTTTTCGAGGAATCCACAGAAGTCCAAGGGGTCGCTTTCGGAGACTACGCGGAAAGTCCTACTCGTAGGCATGAAAGCGTAGCATGCTACATTGTTCGGCGCATGCCGCGTGAAGGCCCCGGCGAGTTTTTCTCTTTCGCCGCTTTTGCCGTGTTTGTGTCGCTGGAAAGAGTGGGCGGTATTCGGCTCGCTGTCTTGCTGACTTGCCTTGACTTATGAATGCCAGAGGATTCCTTGTTATAGGAAGAAGGTCCTATATACCACCCCTCTGCCCAAAAGTTTTTTCTGGGTCTGAGAAATTGCAAGTAGGTGGTGAGAGAGGTGCACTCTGAGCGCAACTTGCCTGAACGTGGCGCTGTGTGGGTGTGTGTTTATGGGACATTTCCATTCGGAGCAATTGTTGACCTTTCTTGTGATAGACAAAACATGTTGCTATCGTCTTTGAGCTGCAATTTACCTCCCAAATTGTGGAGGCTGCTACGCTTAAAGGAGATACGCAGCCACGCCCTCCCCATCATCGGCATACAGGGCATATGGAGCAGAGTGAGGTCCAACATTTGCGTTAAAAGAGGGTCATCCCTCGCACAACGGTGGAAGGGTAGCTCTTCTCAACGGCCGATTTTCCTCATCGCCGTGGCGTACCCCGCTGAGGAGCCTCAGAATCCAAATTCACTGTTCCACAGATACAAATGTGCCTACGATAGGTAAAAGAAGGAGTCTTTTATGATTAGTAGGAGAATCAATCTTCATTATTTCCATAGATGTAGGAAATGCGCGTCAGTCGAGTACACTGTTTCCGCAGTTTGGCACTGGGTTCAGTTGTTTTCAGATTGATGAATTGCGCTTGGTGAAATCGCCGAATGAAGTTCAATCCATGCGAGATGTCTGCACAATAGGATCTCAGGTACAATTCACTGGTTTCCTTGAGAAGGCAACGCGGCAAAGAACTGGCCTTGAAATGTTGGGAATTCCATTGTTAGTTTGAGTCTATGAAATGCTGTGAGGAAGAGTGAAGTGTTCTAAGGCAGGTTTTCCACATGATGGGCCCCTTCATCAGTTTTTGGGAGTGACAATAACAAAAGCTCGATGAGAACCGAAAATCGCCCTCATTTTTCGATTTAGTTGCCTAGCGATTGGA